TTCCTATTTTAGTAGTTGTTACATACTCCTGCCCTTGTTTTGGGTTCGCACAACCCCAGCACCCACATTCGAACTTTCTTTCTTTCCCAGATTCTTTATCAGTCTCTTCCTTACTTCCAGCCGGCAACCCAGAAGGATTGGTTCACCTAGACTTTAGGTGTCTATATAGTTTTCCTTCTCTTGGTACATACTTCCAAAGCACATATCCTTTTTCTCTGGTTTGGTAACCTGGCGGTTCAGCTAGTATGTCCCCCACTTAAGAACCTGGTCACTTGGTTCTCCGATCTCAGTCTTTGGTTCCAAATTTAGTCTTCCTGTAGTACTGTCAAAGATCGCACTACCTCCCAACTTGGAACTTGCCAAACAGGTTTTTGGTTTTTCTAGTATCTCAGATTTATTATGCCAAAACTCCCATTCTAGATAGTGCGACTGAGATTACAGATTTCTAGATCCTACCAATCGTTGAATAGCCGTTAACCATATCACAGGGCTATTTTTCAAAAATGTCATCCATGGAATTTGAACTCTAGACCTGCTGTCTAGAATGCAACAACTCCACCACTTTACTAAGTCACCACACCCAAGATTTTTAATTATAAAATATAATATAATACTTATAAAGAAGAAAATAGTAATAGTGACAAATCTGATAAGGGCAACATATATTATAAAAGTGATGGATATGATAAAGATGACAGATATAATGAAGGCAACAGATATGATGAAGGCAACAGATATGGAAGGCAATGGATATAATGAAGACGATAGATATAATGAAGGTGATAGATATAATAAAGGTGATGAGGATAGATATAAAGATAATTATAAACAAACTTCTACTATTAAAAAGCAATGTATGTCTATTAGTAATTAATTAATTATTTGTTTGGAGGTGTGGCGATCTAGTGTAGTGGTGGTTAGGTTGTCACTCTTACCAAGTGGCAGGTCAAGAGTTTGAAACCTACCGAGGACAGAAAATTCGAATAATTACCTGTGTTATAGCAACCATCTTTCATCGATCAGTTGGAATAGAATACCTGTACCTATGGTCGCACCAGCAAGACTGGCAGGTCTGGAGTATCTGTGCAACTCTGAGTTATACAAAGAAATGCAAACCGTTAGTAAGCAGTGCAAACACTAGATAAGTCCCTAGGTCATGTAAATCCATAGAACTAGGAAGACAGAAGCCCATTTGGGAAGACCCAAGTAAAGAGGTAGCACAGATCTTCAATGGTACTACTGTAAAGGCTAGACCCAGGAAAAGGAAAATGAAGTGGAAGAACTGAACAGAGCACGATCAGTGTGTAGTAAAGCTAGTCCACCAACCAGGCCACCAGGCTAACCGGAGGAAAAGGTCATGGCAGTGCCGATGAACCAAAGACAGGTCACAGTCCTTCTGGGCCATCTGGATTGGGAGTTTGGAACCAAAGCAGAGGGGAACTAAAGTACTGGGGATATGCTGTGAAGTGGGTACCGGGGTTTGGGTGAACTTTGCAAGGGTATAGCCCTGTTAATAGGACTGTAGAGTGAGTAGGTTGTTGACAGGGAGGCACCCCGAGCCTTGCTACTGGGTGACGTACTCCTTATAAAGGGTATGGCCTGGGTCCCTAGCACAGAAAGAGAGACTATATGTAAAGTTAGACAGCACTTGTTGTATGGGAACTTAGGTGCTAACTGCTAAGTGGGTACAGAAAATTAGAGTTTAAATAGGTAATTTCCTAGTAAGCTGCAGGTATGGCAACTAGTGTAGAACCTTCGGGCGGACTACTTAAATAGACAATTAAAAGTTGTACATGTGGCTAGTTGTACACTCATTAATGTACCAAAAAATATCTCAATATAGACATACAAAAAACACAATAAAGCGTTAAGCAACCGTGACATCGGTCTTTAACAATAAAAAAAAAAAAAAATTATTTGTTTGTTTTATTTTGCTAAATATTTTTTTTATATTTTAGATATAACAAAATCTATATCTAAAATAATTAAAAGTCAAGATTCAAAACATTCTAAAGTCCAAGGAATTTATACTAATATCATAAGCAATTGTTTAATATTAAATACAATTGCTAATGATTTAAATATAGATAAAATAGAAATTTATTTAGAAAAACATAAAGCAGTACTTAAAAATAAAGAAGAAAGTACCACACTAGAGCCGATTAGTTTTACTTACATTAAAAAATTAGCAAATAAAATTCAATGGCCTGAATTTGTACTCATAGATCTAGAAGATGCAATAGTTGGTCTAGTAAGTTCGCTAGGCTTTTTAATAGAGTATGAAATATTTAAAAATAAAGTTCTTAAAGGAAATAGGCTAAAAGTTGCAAAGTTATACTATGAGTTTCAATTATTAGAAGCAGGCCTTTCAGTTGTTGCTCCTTTTTTTGATCCTAATTCAGGTGTACCAAAATCTACATATTATAAAGAAATTGCTGAACTTTTAAAAGTCATAATAATGCAAAATTCTACCTCAATTTAAATAGAATTTTGCTATTCATTAATTAAATGAGCTCTTAATTTAGAATCCTATTTAGAAAGATATAATACCCAAAAATATTATTAGACATTGAAGATAGCAATATTTAAGAATGGTTTCTAATAATACCAAGAGGTCGAGAGGTGGTTCCTGTAGCAGCTACGATTAAACTTCTAGAGGATTCATCTATTTTTAATCCTAATTCTTTTACAACTTTGTAAGCAATCATGCTAACAGAGGCTCCACTATCAATAATAGCAGGATACATATGATCCTTTAGATCTACAAAGTATTTGATAGGAGTAATGTTATTGTTGTCTCCCATAGTTGGTTTAGTGTTTTCTTGGTTCATTTTAGTAATATAAGTAGTGAGAGCTGTACAAATAGAGTAGTTGTCTAGAAATCTTTCCCAATTATTGTTGTTAGATGGTGTAGAGTTAGGGTTTAATATTTTTGTCATGTTTACATTCCGGTAGTAGGGTAAGGGTAAGCGGTGAGATCTGGGTCTCTATCTTTCTTGGCTTCTATCTCTAGATCTGCTTCTATCTCGAGAATAGTTTCTATTTCTGTTTTTGCTTCTATATCTTTTACGTAATTGACTTCTATTCCTGGCTCTTCTATAAACATTAGATCTACTGTTATAATTACTTCTTTGATTATAGTTGTTATTTCTATTTCTTCTATTGTTTCTATTTTCTTTTGATTTTCTTTAATAACAGTCAGCCATATAATGTATCTTTTTACTATAGTAGTGACAAGCAAATTTGTTTCTAGAGGGGCTTTGTTTTGTTTCTACAATATAAGCTAGTTTTTTTTTGCTGTTGCTGGGCAAGATTAATACTTAATTGAGCAATTTGGTCTGTAAGTTGAGCAATTGCTTCTGTGGTATCTGTTTTTGAAGCAGTAATATATTTTCCTGTTTCCCAATTTTTGGTAGCATTCATAATAGCATCAATGTCATCTAGGCTAGCTGTTTGTACAGGCATAGTATACTTAGATCGTAATTCTTATATAAAATGTTGTTGAATAAATACTAGGGGTAAACCTGCGACTTTCTGATTAAGATTCTTAAATTTTGCAATATATGCATCAACTAAGTCACTTTCTTGTTTGAAGTTGAAGAATTGTTGTTGCTATATAGCTTTTTGTCAAGTGGTGCAAAACTTGTTTGTAAATAAAGTTTTGAAACTAGTAGCTAGGTATGCTAGATCATTATATGCTATAAGCTGAAAAGCAGTAAATCACGGACCCATTCAGTAGCAATTCTTTTCATATGGGAATGACTATAGCAAAAGGTGGCAATGAGTCAAAATTTTTGATTCTGTAATTTTATAAAAATTATATGTTTATTACTCTAATTCTTCAAGAAATTGTATTTTTAAGAAAAAAAATTTTTTGACACATTGCTACCTTTTGCTATAAGGGTTCCCATATGTGCTTTAGCTACTTCAAGTTGTCGAGCTTCTTCCTAATGATTAGCTTGTCCAGCACGTTCAAATTTATCTAACCAATCTAGTAGATCTTGGGTACTATCTTCTATAAAGGGATCTATTTTGACAAGGCTCTTTTTACCAGTTTCTCCTCTTTGTAGAGCTTCAGCCAATCTAGTCATTGCTTGGGTAGCAGCATCCATTTCTTCAGCATTTAATTGTTCTTCATTATCAGGAGATGCTTCAATGTTTTCTGGTATTTCTATATCTTCTGGTACTCATTATTAGCAATAGAATTGTTATTAACAAGTGCTTCATTATTAGCAATAGGGTTATTATTAACAAGTACTTCGTCAAGTTCGTGGTTATTAACTTCTGGTTCGTCACGAACAGTATCAGAATTAGAGTCCTTCCTTTCTTCTTAGGGTAGAAAAGGTAATTAAAAAAAATTATCAAGACTATTTAGTGATTGTTCACTTCCTTGATCTGTATCTCTTTCTTGTTTGAGATTTAATAGGCATGGGGGTGGGGTTACAAGAGAGTGTAGGCTATATTATCAAGTGGAACTTCTTGAAATTGATTTGGGTTTAATTGGTGAATTAAAGATATTTGGGGTAAAATTCTATTACAAGTATGATGAATAGTTAATGAACTATCTCTTTGGTATGGAGATTGATAAGGTTAATAAGGTAAGTTATTATGTTCCCTTCTATCACCACTATAGAGAACTAAAGTATCTGCAACTTGTTGTATAGTAATAGCAGTTACAAAATTAGAGTTATTGTAAGTAGTAATAGTTGTGTCTTGCCAAGAAGTTTGATAGATAAATTGTTCTAAAGTTTGGGGAAAATTCTGATGTATGATAGGTCTAGTATATAATCTTCTATAGTTAGGGTTATCAATATAAATATCATAGTAATTTCTGTCAGGGTATCTGATTTCAGGAATATCTTGAAAAGGTGTATATCTAAAAAATAGAGTGGCAACAATATCTCTTGCACTGCCAATATTTGTACTGTATTAGCAACTAAAAATAATATTTCTAGCAGCAACTCGAGCAGCCGATAGTTCATGTATTACTGATAATCGGTTATGATTAGTTTGGGTAATGCAAGTATAGAATTCAGCATGATAACTTGGGCTAACACAATTTGGTGGAAAACACTCAATACAAGAATAATCAGATGCATTAGTTTGGAGTACAGTAGCAGCAAGAGCAGAGTTAAGTTGATGTTGTGCTTAATAGATAACAATATTCTGGTTATGAAACTCTATTACAGAATCTTCTATAAAAATAATAAACTTCAAATAATTTAGTAGTAATGCGAAAGAAAATTATCTTCCAGAGATAATTATAAATACGATGGTTAAATAGTAAATAAATAATAGAAGTATAATAATAATAAAATAGTATACATGCGAAGAAGAGTTTAAATGATTATAACAAAGAGTAATGACATCAAATAACAATTTCAAAATTTCAATTCAATTTAATTCAATAACAAAATAATTTCAATTTCACTATACCATGACTTGCAAGAGATAAAGTATAAACTCTCCAAGCTTCAAAAATAAATATAGATTAGTAGTTTTTATATCTTTAAAAATAATTTAAATTTTAATTGCTTTTTTTTTTTTCAATAGCCAATCTTGCAGTAATTTTCAAAAGAGTAGTTGTAGTTCAAAGACAATTCAAGAGAGATAGTTTCTAGTAAGCCTTGATAAATTCTCTAAGATTTTATACTTTTCTACTAAAAATTCTGTCAAGAGTAGTTCCTTTGGGGTTTTTCTTTTGATTTCCACCAGAAGGCACCAAAATATTACAATGCTATAGCCTTCTTATTATAAATATAGCAAAGTAACAAGATCACCCAGTGCAGTGATATACTTTATGAATATACATAGGGTGGATGTGAAGTATATACTTTAACTTCATAGCAGAAGGCAAACAGTTTGAGATAATAATAGTTTATAGATAATAATATTTATTTATAATAAATTTATGGTGATAACCTTGTTTGTAGAAATTACTCTAGAGAGAGAATATCACACTTTACAAGTAGAGAAGAGTAAAGGGGTAGGGCTAGATTTTATAAGAGGGTGGTAAACTTTAACTTGGGTAGAAGAGAAAAAGGCTCCCTTTTTATAACTTTTCTACAGATAGAAATATAACAGTATAATTGCTATATCATGTAGAGGTACTTAGAGGCACTTTGTATAGAAGCACTTAGAGGTACTTTGTGTAGAGGCACTCGGAGGCACTTTGTGTAGAGGCACTTGGAGGTACTTTGTATAGAGGTACTCAGAGACACTTTGTGTAGAAGCACTTGGAGGCACTTTGTGTAGAGGCACTCGAAAACACTTTGTGTAGAGGTACTCAGAGGCACTTTGTATAGAGACACTCGGAGATACTTTGTGTAAAGGCACTTGGAGGCACTTTGTGTAGAGGCACTCAGAGGCACTTTGTATAAAGGCACTCAGAGACACTTTGTGTAAAGGCACTCGGAGGCACTTTGTGTAGAGGTACTTGGAGACACTTTGTGTAGAGGCACTTGTATCATGTGCTATTTTACTTAGCTGCAGTATTACTGTGCCATATTATTTTACCCAATAGAGTCTCTTCTATACTAAATATAATTAACTATAACTAATAATATAATAATAATATAATGATAACTATAATACTATGATATAATAATATAATAAATAATACAAAAATAGAATATTTCCTATACTATGCTACACTAGTATTACTTTGTATTACAATCTACTTTGTAACAATACTAAGGAAATAAGAAACAGAAGAGCTAACAGCAACTCCAGAACTTGCAGCACTACTAAAAAACCCCTTGGTAGTATAGAAAATAAGCTTGCAACTGGTTCAAACAAAACAGAACTAGGTAGAAGAAAAGGCAAACAAAAAAAGCAAGAAACTAAAAATAACCAAGCTGAAACTTCTTCCAAAAAGGCCAGACTATATAGTTTAATATTTAGTAAACCAAAAAACAAAATTGTGATTAATCCTAACTTACAAGATAATATGTTGAACCAAATCCTAAGCAGATTACAAAAAATAGAAGAAAATCAGAGAGCATTAAACCCCAATCACTCCTAAAGGTGCTACAGTTGCACTAGTAGAAACAAACAAGCAAATCAGCTTGTTGGGGCAAACACCACTTAAGATAACTAACAATATCCCAAAACCTGAACTAAAATTAGCATGTCATAATATTAACAGACTTAAATTAAATAACCAAAAACTCCTTCATCTAATAAACTAGGCAGAGGAAGAGAAAATGATATTTTAGAAGTTGTAAAAACTAATATTTCAGACAAGGAAGATACTTTTGTTCATATATCAAATAGTTGCTTTAGAAGTTACTAGACAACAGACAAGAAAAAAGGATCTGGAATAGGTATTCTGGTTGGGAAAAAAATCAAAAAGCATACAGGAAACTTTAAAAAACACAATGAGTACTTATTAGAATTCTATATAATCTTAAAGTATTTAAAGATAAAGATACTTATTATATATATCTTACTAAATGATCTGAAGCAAATTAAACAGATACA